TCCCAGAGAGACAAGAAGAGGGATGCAACATCTTGTGATCATTTTTTGGCATGTACCTACTCTGGCAACTTTGTTCTACACTAGAATCTGTTATACTCCTATTTTAATATTAATGGCTATCAGGCAAGCAAATACAAATTATACTTGCTCCTATGCCTACCTTTTACTCTGCTTTGTTAATCTTTAGCTCCCCCTCTAAATGTTCTGTGTAATTTGTTTTGCCTCGTTTGTTCATTTTTTGTCTTTGGGCTACAAGTTGAATTTTATTTGGTAATGACCAGAACCAACTGAGACAAAAGAGCCAAAAAATGCCCTTGAAGCAAGGCGGAGAATGGAATAAATAGTTCTGGAGACTGAGTCTAAATAACCAAGACGATTATTTCCTGAGAAGGTTTCCTGCTTGACTTGTTGAGTGGATGTGGTACAAGTCAAGAGTGCTGGGTACTACTAGTCCCACCTCTCCCACTGACCTGCAGAGTGAATTTGGGCAAACCATTTAATATGTTACACTGTTTCAGCCTTCCTCCATGCTCCCATTCTTGCTTGCATACATTTGACATTCCCAAAGATGAAGAATTCCTCTTTACTATGTGTATGCATAGTATCTACTGCAGTTAGGAGACCTGGCCATTGGACCCTAGTTGCTACCGTGATATTCATTACGTTTAAGAAAGCTTGCATCCTAGTAGCCCATGCAGGGTAGTGATCTGTGGATGGAGGACTTCAATACTGAATATGGTTATCATGATGACCACTTTCACCAATATCAAATTCTCAAAAACTTCTAAGGCAGACAAGGTTCTTGAGGTAAATCTTTTATTAGACCAACTAAAATTGTTGGAAAAAATATTGTTTGCAAGCTGTTGGGTGCAAGCACCTTTTTCAGGCAGAGGAAACATTACCTGCCTATGTCCTTAGATCAACACAGCTATAACCAACACCCATAAACTTCGAAGTGTATTTTTAAATTCAGTTCATGAAAACAATTGTTTATGCTTCTTCCTCCACCTTCCACATATGATACCTAATTGAGAACTTGTGAAAGGTGAGCAACTGACAGAATAGGTATTTACGCCCACTTCCCCCCCCCCCAACCTCTCCCAACTCCTTTGTTCTTGTAAGTACTGAATAAAAGCCAGTAATGCTTCACAAATGACCACTTAAAACCTACTTGAGGCCTACTTATTGGGATGTGAACTTCCTGATGATCTGTAGGGAGCAGCAGAATCCTTGTATTGCCAACCTTGCCAGTTCGCTGCTTTCTTTATTGAACCTCAGACCTCTGTTCTGGAAAATCCCCAAACAGTAGGGAAAACTCCAATTATTTCCTACACTGTGCCTTTTTATGCAAATTGCTGCAGGCCAAAATGAGTGCGACTGACAGACTGTAAAGTATCATGACCATGTCTTGACAGAATATGCTTCAACTGTGAATATTAAAAAATCTCTTAATGTCAAAGCCTCAGGGTAGTGTACAAAGGGAAGAACTGCATTATATTCCATCAAAGCTAGGATTCAACCATGCATCCTCTTGCTCCAAGAAATTCAGACTAACAGACGATACTTCTTTAGGAAATTGTGTATCTGAGTTGCTTGGAGTTTTTTTCCCCCTAACCTAAAACGTATTTCCCTTCCATAAATTACTATGCTGTGATAGTCTGGTCTCTCCCTGCCTAATTGCTTTCTTCTCTCTCGAAAAGATCTCCTTTTCTAACACCTCTGGCCCAGGGAGCAGAAACTTCTTCTAAAGAAATATTATTAATGTAGGCTCTTTCTGCTGAAGACTTCTGTAGGGTATTCATTTAACCTTCAGTCCTTAACGGCAACTCCCTTGAAAGAAGTATCCTTCTTGGATATAGTAGTTTGCTAATCTTGGCAAATAGCAGGGTTACACTGCATCATGCAGAAAGAAACTTTCACTCTTGATAGAACCAACAGGGAGATTAAATTAATAAGTGTTAATATTTTGCTTAATGGGGTGTAGGTTGTAGCCATGTTGGTCTAAGGACATAGGCAAACAAGTTTCTTCAGGTAAATCTGATATCTGAGTTGGTTTAATAAAAGATAGTTGGAAAATTCTTCTTAGCAAGCTTTCGGATTTAAATACCCTTTGTCAGGCTGAGGAAGCGTCTGCGGTTGGTGTGCTCTTTGTTCCATCCATGCAGGTAGAGTAGTAGTGAACCTTGCAGTGGAAAAGGAGTAGGAGTTGTTGCCTGAAAGGAAATACAGAGGGGAGAGCATAGATGTTAGGGTCGGAAGGGACCTCAATAGATCATCAAGTCCGACCCCCTGCATAGGCAGGAAAGA